TCAGCTGAACCTTCGTTACTTTGCATCACACACATCTTGAACACGTAGTCCCTCTACCCAAATAATGTCCTGATTTTTGGTGGGTTTGTCCTCTAACCTCCTGCATGTGTTGGTGTTGGTGTGTACTGCAGTGTTTGGGTGTGCTCTGTGCAGAGCTGCAGCTCTCAGAGGAGCCTGGAGGGTGTGTCTCCCCCAGGGCAGCCCAGGCACTGCCCCTTGGCCCTGCCTGTGAAGGAGCACCCGGGGGAGGATTTTTCCCTTGTGCCACAGTCCCTTCCCCTATGACATCCCCAAGGCCTTGGGATCCAGTGTCAGGGCTCTTTTGGGGTGACTGAGGGCCCTGCTAAGCCCACAGGTGGGCGTTAGACACACCAGCCTCAGGAGGAGGAAAACCAGAGGTTTCCCTGTCCCTCCACCTGCACTCTGACGCTCTCTACTTTAGCTCCACACTCATGCAAGTTTAAAAGCAAGTAAATGTTGGCATTGTGATTCACCTCCCCATCTGCTCCCTCCTCCTTTCAGTCCTGGAAAGAGAAGCTCTGCTCACCTGCCTGGTGGGAGCATCTCCTCCAAGGACAAGGATATGGGGAGTGATGATTCCACGGATTGAGCCACTGATGATTCCAAGATGATTCCACTGAAAGCACAAACCTCTCCACTCGAAACAGGCTCTGGGCTATTCACTGCCCTCACTGAGCTCTGAATGCTGAGCTCTGTTGGAGGATGATACCTCGGTTTCACTCCTGGCTCATCTCTTATGACAGTGAGTAAATGGAGAGAGATCACACTCCTCCAACACTTCAAAATAATGACCCACACTGGGATCCAGCTGGTGGTGCCAGGGGGCTGGTCCTGGGACCAGCACAGCGCTGGATGTGCTCAGGAGCTGGCCAGGCTGTTCCCCTCCCTCCTGAGGGCTGCCCCCCTTGCCCATGGTCTGCCCTACCCCTGTGGTGACTCCAGCCCTGCCCTTCCCAATCCATGGACAGTGAAAAACAGTCAGGCACTGAGCCAACCCTGAGCATCCACAGACTTGGCTGCCTGAGGGGGCCTGTGCAGGTCCAGCAGTTCTGACACTTTCTCTGCTTTGCACTCGTCATTTGGGAATGCTATTTCCACCCGGCAGGTTGAAGATAATTGCCAAGTGTCAGTACAATTTGGCAGCAACTAATCTAGATTTGTTTAGAGTTATTGTATATTCTTAATTCTATTTGGATTTAAAAACACAGCATTTCATTTTCCTCAATGCTCCTCTGGAGCATTGTTTTGCTCCCCTATATAAAATTCTACTGCAACTGTTGTGACATGTTTCTGCATACATAGTTCTAGATTTGCTTAAAGGAACAAAGTCTAAATGATCTTGATAGAATAAATTTGTATCTAACTTTTCCAGGCAAACTGCAAAACACAGCGAGTGTCATTCAAGACAAATTTGCTCAATGGCTTTAAAACACTATTCTGAAAATAACTCCTGAGGCTGTACGACCAGTTCCCTCTGCTTTGTACCAGTGCAAAGTGGGACTTTCTATGCCTCGGTGGGTCTCCACAGAGCTCCTGGCTGTGTATGCCCACCCAAATCCCATGGCCATGTGCTCTCAGCACCCTTGGGCTGGTCACAAGCCGGTGGGTGATGGAGGGTGCAGCACCATTTCTGTGCAGGGCTGAGTACTGGGCTCCTTGGGGTCCCTTCTCAGTGTTCTTCTCTCACCCTGGAGCCCTGCTGGAAGGTGTCTGACTGTCCTGGAGTGGCTCTGACCACTGCTCCTTGCTGAGCTGGGCTGGGTTGGGCTGGGCTGGGTGCTGGAGCACTGAGGCTCCCAGTCCTCTAGTCCAGGGGCCTGGCAGTCCCTCATCCTGGAGTCCCACCTCTCTGGATGCAGAGGCCAGTCTTCACTCCAGCCATAGGGACCACAGCCCCCAGCCCAGGGCCTGGAGCGAAGCCTGGGCTCCAGCAGAAGCCACTGTCCTAAGAAAGGTTTTTCATCCCAAACTGACTGTGTCTCCTGGGGTGGGCGAACATTCTTGAAAACTCAGAGGGGAAACCTTGAGTGTGGATGATGTGGAGAAAAAAAGAGACTGGATGTTGGGATTTTTGCAGCTGAAAACACCAGTTTTCTCTGGGGAAGTTGCATGGCCCCTGCTCCAGCCTGTACTCCCCTTGCCAGTGGCTGCTCCTTGGACCAGCCCCCGGTGCCACCACAGGTGTGGGTGAGAACCACCAGGGACCCTCAGCGGGTCCTGCTGCTCCCATGGGACATGGGACATGCCATGATGGGGATGCACACACACACACAGGCTCCTCCCAGGCCATCAGCCTTTCCTGTCTGCACTGCAGCACCTGCTACCTCCCTCCTGCACCCCCAAACCCACCCGTGCCGGGTGTCCCCGTGTGCCCCATCCTGAGGCCTCTCCCACACACGCTTCTGTACATCTGGGGGCTGCCTCCAGGTCCCCCCGTGATATCAGATGTGCTGCTATTGATTTTCTCTCTGCATTTGTTTTTGTTATTCATTATTAATGGGATCATTTTTCCATCCTTAGTGCACGAAGGCAAATTTTGTGTAAAAATCAATTGAGTGAGCAGCGCCAATGGCTTGTTTGGTTTTCTCTGCTTTCATCTTCTGTGTGCAGGGCCCGGGAGACAGAGAGCAGGATATTAAGGAACAAGCATGGAATGGAGAAAAAAATAATAAATCAATTTTTAGTCGTTCAGAAACCACAGAAAGGGATTTGCCTGCTGAGCCTTTCATGCATGTACTGGGCATTTCCTAGTTCAGCAGGTTTCCCTTTCCACTTTACCTGGGCTGTCACTGAAAGGGAATTCCCTTTCTCAGCGAATTTCATCTGCATTTTTCATTTTACCTGTGGGAAGTGGGTTTGTGCAGAGGGTGTGTTTTGAAGAATTAATTGTTTCAGGGTGGGACCTACAGAACTACTGCCCAGGACAAGGAGCCCCAGACCTTGATGACAAATGGGAGTCCTGATCCTGTGGCACCTGGAGAGACTGAGGGGGCAGGAGGGAATATGGGGCTGTGCTGTGGCGGCAGGACATCACAAATTCGGTATCCCAAGCACTGTCTTCATCCTGCTTCCCACCACCCCTTGGTGATGCCGTCTGGCTCCAGGGCACTGCTCATTATTCCAAGGGGAAAACGTGGGCAGCTTCTTTGTGCCTCCTCAGCAGTAAATACCAATTCTGAATTATTCCCACTGAAATCGAAGGAAGTTAATCCCCAGCTCCAGGAAGACCAGATGAGTTTCCTGTATCACAGTGCGTTTATCTGGCATCAGAGCTTGGGGAGCCAAACCCAGGAACAGACTAAGGCACCAGTGAGGACCAAACAGGAGGTACCTGATCTCCAAAGTAAATCTCAAATGAAGGGGTCAGGTCCTGTATGTGACATCTGGGCAGAGCAAGGCATGAACCTGCACACCTAAAGTGAAAATAAACCCGGGATTTTCAGACTGAAATCTGGGAAGAGCCCCTGCAGCGCTGCTGGGAGAAAAGGATCAAGGAGCAAGGGAGGGTGAGCAGAAATGTCCAGGGACTTCAGATCTCCCTGGTGAACATATTGGAGGGGAGGAGGAGCCCACAGGAGCTGTTTTCTGGGACAGTAACTCCAGGTTTGGAAAAGTTCGTTCAGGATTTTTTTACATCTTTAAGCCACTCTCCGGGGCTGAGCAAGAGGGACAAAGGTAGAACTGTCACAAAACGACAGATCTAGGTAACACCAGAACAGCCACAAATAAAAACGCAGGGCCCCTTTTGCCATTGTAGGAACAAGCCCTGTCCCATCTCCCTTCCAAAGGCGAACAGGGATAGAGGTGACGGCTCCGGAGCTGTGAGGGAGTCCTGCGCTGTCGGGCAGGAGCGGGAGCTCGGCGGGGCGCAGGCTGGATTAACCCAAATCGGGCAGGACACTAATCCCATCGGAGGGCAGCGTTAGGAGCTTTGGGTTGTTTCTGCTGGATGCTGGAATACAAAAGGCTTGAGCCTGCGGTGCCCCGCGGCCGTGGCACCACCAGGGATCCGGGGTGGATCCCCATTCCTGTGCCAGGAAATTCCCCCAGCCTGCGGCCCCGCGTTCCTCTCCCGCCGCTCCCCGGCCCAGCCTCTTCAGCCTCTTACCTGTGAAAAAGCCCGACGACTCCGGGGCCGTGCGATGGAGAGCAGGTACGGGGAAAGATGCCGTCGGAGCTGCCTTCCTTATACCGCGGAAGGCGATTAATACTGCATCGCCCTTATTCTTAATTTTCTGAGCCCACAATACGATTTAATGGCATAAGGGCATTTATTATTAAAGGACATTTGATTGGGGAAAAATCACTGGGGCTGATTGGAAAAACACCGCGCGAGGGAGCGTTCCCGGGGACCCTAGAGGAGAAGCTGGATTCGTGAGATCCTTCCCTGATGGAGGAGAAGGATGAGACCCGGTTCGCAGGTCTGATGTTTGTCACTCATTGAAATGCTAAAGTGGAATATTCAGAGGAGGCTTAATCTTTAATCGTTAAGGTGCTTCTGGGAGTCGTAAATAAAAACCCTTTTCCCCCCTCCTGAATAGCTACAGAAACGAACCCGCCATCAGGTTTGGTGGGGGGACGTTTGCGTTTCGCCGGGGCCAGGTGGGGGCCGGGGGCAGTAGGGGCCCAGTCCCGTGTGCAGGGGGTCGCTCCGCCGAGGGGCGTTCGTGGCGATCGCAGGTATTTCGGGTATCCCCGTCGGCGCTGCGGCGCGGGGCGACGAGGAACGACACGTCCCGGCGGGTTGAAAAATAAAGCTTTATTAGGGGAGCGCGGGGCTCGCCCGGCGCGGAGGGATGGGGCGGGATGGCGGGGCGCAGAGGGGGCGGCTGTGCCCGAGGTGATCTCCGGGGCCCCGCCCGCCGCCAACGGAGCTCGGGGGGACCCGCGGAAACCCCGCCGCGTCCCTCCCCGGCTCCGCTCCCCGCCGGGCTCCGGTCCCGGGACCGGGCTGGCTCGGCGGGGCGAGGGGCGCTCGGGGCAGTCCGTCTGTCCCGTTCCGGGGTCCGTAGGGCCGCGCCGTCGGGGCGCTCGGGGCCGGGCGGTCAGTGCACCGCCGAATACTTCATGCGCTTCTGCTTCTGGCGCTGGTTGCAGAACCAGACGCGCACCACGTTCTTCTTGAGGTCCAGCTTCTCGGCGATGGCCGCGATCTTCTCGGCCGAGGGCCGGGGCTGCAGCGCGAAATACGCCTCCAGCGAGCGCCGCTCGGGCGCGGCGATCGAGGTCCGCCGGCGCTTGCGCTCGGCGCCGGGCGGCGGGTCGGGGCCGGCGGGGCGGGCGCGCCGGGCGGCCTCGGCGCCCTCCAGCCAGGCCTGGAGCACCGGCCGCAGCGCCGTCATGTTGTTGTGCGACAGCGTCAGCGACTCGAAGCGG